GACGGACTCGGCCCCGCGCGCGCACACTTTTGTGTTACAGTCATTGATGGACTCTATTTTTTTATTATTACTTGGACCTTGGTCGTTTTTATACTAGCAAAAAAAATGTCTTCGTTTTCATTGGTGTTTTTTTTCGGGGTGCGGGGGGAGGGTGTGAACTTGCTGATTCTGTAGCAAAACCGGGGCGGGGGTGGGGCGGGGTAGTTTACTTTGTCGTAAGGACTTGATACCTGGCTACAGCGTTTTCTATGAAACCTACTCGGAATCCATGCCTGGAAATTTGGAAAGCATATGTACAAAAATCATTTTTACGTTTTATTTTTAATAAATCATTGTGTTTGACCGCACATGTCTAACATTTTTTTTCTAGGGTCCATTCCATACCGTTTGAAGGGATATTCGTTTAAGAAAAAGATGGGTGTTTTTTTTCCCCCCTCACGTGTTCATTCTCGATGTGTGCTTTGAGAAACTTGAGAGAAAGAAATTTTATTTTCCCCGTTATCCTGCTAGTGACATGTTGGCTTTTTTTTTTTTTAATTCCCTTACAGGCAAAACTTTTGAAATGGTGGCTGTGGCTCTTTTACACTTTTTGTTAAAGTTTCTGTACATCCATCTCGTACTGAGCGATTTGTTTATAGTCATGACATGGTTGGTCCCTTCTTTCTAGGAGAATTCAAAGTATGTACTGTAGTTTTAAAAGAAATCGTTTGTGTTAAGCATGTGTTTTCATTCATATAAACTGTTAAAAGTTTTCAGATGGCCTCGTTTCATCCCTCCTACCGTTTTGTCTGTAATGAGTGGTTAAAAAAGGGTTATATTTTTACCCTTGCTAAATGCATTTTTGTATTTTCAGAGCAAGTAAGTTTAAAGTGTTGGGTTTTTTTTTTCCTCCTACATCTGAACTGTTGTCATTATGAAAATCCTCCCTACCTTTGTAGCACCATCTACTGGCAGAATGGCAGGATAGCTGCAGGAAGATTCAAGACACTTGTGTGGGACAATTGCATCAGATTTAGAAGTTTTGCCATCCAAAGTCTGTGCAAACTTGGAGGTTACACATTTCCTTGTAACCGAGAATGGTCTTCACAGGAATGTAGTTTGGTGACCAGTCCCTGTCACAGTCTCCCCCTCTTCTCTCCGTGAGATCTGGAAATGTAAACTGGTCTGCATAGCTTGGGCAGTTGCCCCAGATAGCTATGACAGCTAATGAACCAGCTATGTGTACTGGTATTTTGGGTGCAAGTTGTAAAGCAAACTATCTGTGTATTCTGCTTGGTTAACATGTATATTTGTAGCCCTTTCCTGCTATAGAATTCAAGTTGTTTATATAAAAAAAAAAGAAACATAATAGGAGAAAATTGCCTTCCTGGATAGAAATATAGAATAGCAGCGTTTATGGATATCACAAATAAAGAATTCAATTCTTTACATGATTGAGTCAGAGTATGTATGACCTGGTTATTTGGGGGGGGTCTGGGAGGGGGGTCAGTACACCTGTCAATCCCAGTATATTTTGATTTAATGTGACAAAATATCTGAATTCTGTTTCAAGGTTGAAAAGCCTGATCTATAAGAAGGTGTCTGAAATGGACATGAAGTGGATTTTTAAAGTAAAATATTTTAATGTGGATTTCCCAGTGCTTTCCCCCCCCCCCCACCTCCGCCTACTGTCTAATCTCCTTGAGATCAATTATTGACAGTCTTTTTCTGAACTGCCAAGGCCCTACTTTTGTATGGATAAAGGCCGTGGATGCCAAGGCAAGGTAATGGGTTGCTCTTTTTTTTTTTTTTTTGACAAAGGATATAGCCCATAAAAGCAGACGGGACAGACTCTTCACGTTGTGTGACTTAGTTGTTCAGCTTCCCAAATTGCTGCTCTTTAAACTCTGATACACAAGCTGCACATGGGTTACTTCATGATTTGGTTCAATCTTTGGGAGGTGGAGGTGGGGTGGGAAGTTCTCTAGGATAGAAAGATTAAGTTTTACACTGTTAGTTTTGGTGGGAAGTTTTTTTGTAATCATTTCAGTCTAAAGCTGTTATTTATTTTTAAGTTCAGTGTAGTGACAACATGGTGCTCAGTGAATGATGTAGAAGAGTGCAATTAGAAAAGCAGCCTACAGCTGAGGTGATGATGGTATGTATATTAATTCTTGTCTCCCCTTGGGTATTTAGGGAAAATGCATGCTGGTGGTGTCTTCCTGCCTCTTCCCTGGTGCGCCCCAGAGTTGGGAGGTGGCATCATTTTTCTATGTAGCACTTGGCACGGTGTTTTAAGTGGTTGGAGAAGGCTACTGGTTTTGATTCACCCATAGGAATCTGACCAATGTTCAGATTTAACAAGAACTTGGAGTAGTCCCTGTAGTGTTTGCAACTTTTTTGTTCCATGCTTAATCTCATTTGGAAGATGAGCAAAGTGAAAGTGAACCTCTTATTTGCCTTCCCAATGTGAAGAGGTCTTGCATTTATGTTACTTGCATTAGTATAAAATCTGAAGTAAGGTCTAGTTTGAAAGAGGCTTTTTAAAATGGTAATAATTTCAAATGTCTTTCAAAGCCTGCAGTTGATTAAAGTTGAAAGTGCAAACTACCACGTCTGAGTGGATATTCTGATAATTCGTTTCCTTTGTGTTTGGGATGTACGTTTCATCCTTACATCTAAGTTAGATTTCTTTTTTTTCAAGCAAGGGAAAGGACAGGGTACTGAAGAATTTGATTCTTATGGTCCCTCAAGACCAGAATTGGCAGTGTCATTTATAGGCTTGCTTATTTACCTTTTAAGTGGATTTATCTTTCTCAAATTAGAGAATCTTTATTTTAGGTTAGATATTCTATGTGTCTTTGCCAGTTGAAAGTGGGCATTTGGGCTTTCACGTAACTAATCCATGTATGGATTTTACTCAAAAGAGGTGAATTTGTACCCAGAAGGTAAGTTTCTTCTGGTTTAGTCAAGTTATCAGTGTAGCAATGTGATCATGGGGGGAAAAATTGTCCTCACCCTTATTTTTGGTTTTGAAACAGGCAAAGACTACTTCAAAGCCAAGGTGGGACCTTGCTTTTTGCTTAGTGTCTCATTTCAGATTACTTTTATGAGCCCTTGTTTCAAGTTAGGAAAAAGGGAAAACTGAAAAAAAATTTTTTTTCCATTGACAGATTTTTTTTAAGCCTATGAAATTTAGTAATTTCTACTATGTGTTACTTAAGAAAAATGTTGTTTACATAACATTTGAATGACATTTAAAGTCACAGAATATACTGATAATTATTAGGACGTATAAAATACAGAAACTTTATGAGCTCTTGAGACTGATTCAGTTGATCATTCTAAGCCAGAATAAAGAAAAAGCAAATAACCCTACTAAAATAAGCAAACTTATGGACTGTAACTATTAGAAGTGCATAGCCAACTATTTTGTGTGAGTCAGTATTTGTTAAAAAATACATTCTTAACAACATGAAATCTAACACTCTTAAATCAAGTAAATCGAACTCATTCTTGTTAACCTGTATAGTTTTCATCGTATAACTGTATCATAACTCAAAATATCCCTCTGTTGATGGATTTGAGGTTTCTTTCATTTCTTGCTCTCAAGTGATGATCGGTCTTGCATTTGGAGAGATGGCTGCTCAGGAATTAAGGTGTACTAAGTATGAGAATTAAGGTGTACTAAGTATGAGAATGTAGCAATTTTGTGGTATCATTAAATATGTTTTCAGTCTTAATGCAACCACAGAGAAATGGATATATTTACTTGTGGCCTTTTCACTGCTTTAGATAAATTCAACATACTGAAAAAAAATTTTTTTAAGATTATATTTCTAATGCAGTATTAATGACACATAACAACCATTGTACTACTGTCTCTATTTTCTTTCCCAGTAGTTTTTACTGTGGGGATATTTGCTTGGCTTTCAGTATGGTGGCCATGTTCATCACTGCTTTCCCTGCAGTCTCAGGAAGTAATAAGGCTGCCATTTCTTGAGTGTCTGCTGTGTGTCCTGCATTGGAGTAAGTACTTTATGTCCATATTATTTAGTTGTCATTGCTTCTGTGAAGAGTTTTTTCCCCCCTCCCCTATCTAAAGACTTGCTAGCTTAAAACTGCCTACAGTCACATAGGTGATGAGAACAAGAGGCCTTTTATATGTATGTATGTATGTATGTCAGTTTATTTTTAAAAGTCATTAAAAAAAGTTGAGCCAGGTGTCAGTGCCTCCCGCCTGTCATCCTAGCCACTCAGGAGGCTGATCTGAGGATCACGGTTCAAAGCTAGCCTAGGCAGGAAAGTCCATGAGACTCTTATCTCAAATGAACCACCAGAAAACCGGAAGTGGCGCTATGGCTCAAGTGGTAGAGCCCTCGCCTTGAGCTGAAAGAGCTGAGGGACAGCGCCCAGGGCCAGAGTTCAAGCCCCACGACCGACCAAAAAAAAAAAAAGTCGATTGTGAAGGTGGCTCAGTGGTAGAGTGCTTGCCTTGCATAAGGCCCTAGGTTTGACTCTTGAGCACCACATAAGCAGAAAAAGCTGGAAGTGACGCTGTGGCTCAAGTGGTAGAGCACAGCCTTGAGCTGAAGAGCTGAATGACAGCACCCAGGCCCAGAGTTCCGACAAAAAAAAAAAAGTCTTGTAAAAATTCCCATGCCAGCCGGGCGCCAGTGGCTCACGCCTGTAAGCCTAGCTACTGAGGAGGCTGAGATCTTGAGGATCATGGTTCAGAGCCAGCCTGGGCAGAAAAGTCCGTGAGACTTTCATTTCCAATAAATCACCAGAAAACTGGAAGCGGTGTTGTGGCTCAAGCAGTAGAGCGCTTGCCTTGAGCTGAAGAGTGCGGGGACAGCGCCCAAGCCCAGAGTTCAAGCCCCATGACCGACCAAAAAAAAAAATTCCCATGCCAGATAGTCTGTATTTGTAATTTGTCCTTTTCTAGATCTTACATAGATAAACACACATAAAACATTGTTTTTGTGTATATGCTTCTATGTATGTATATCTTCATCTCTAAGCAGAAGTAAGTGTATATACATATATATGCATGTATAGGTATACATCTTCAGATATATAGAGTATATATATATATAGAGTATAGTTTTACATCAAAGACATTTTTCTACCTATATATAAATAACTTTTCATATGACCGTATGGTCTTGTCTAATCTCTAGATGCACCACAATTTATTGATTAGCACATTTTCAGTTTTTCTTCTGATTATAATTTAAAACTCTTTGAAAGCCGGGTGCTGGTGGCTCATGCCTGTAATCCTAGCAATTCAGGAGGCTGAGATCTGAGGACTGCGGTTCAAAACCAGCTGGGGCAGAAAAGTCCATGAGACTGATCTCCAGTTAATCACAGAAAAAGTTGAAAGTGGTGCTATGGCTCAAGTGGTAGAGTGCTAGCCTTGAGCAAAAGGAGGCCAGGGACAGTGCCCAGGTCCAGAGTTCAAACCCTAGGCCTGGCAAGACCAACACAAAACAAAAACCTCGCCGGGCGCTGGTGGCTCACGCCTGTAATCCTAGCTACTCAGGAGGCTGAGATCTGAGTATCACGGTTCAAAGCCAGCCCAGGCAGGAAAGTCCACGAGACTCTTATCTCCAATGAATCACCAGAAACTGGAAGTGGCGCTGTAGCTCAAGTGGTAGAGCGCTCACCTTGAGCTGAAGAGCTGAGGGACAGCGCCCAGGCCCAGAGTTCAAGCCCCACG